TCCGACCAAAACAACCCAGCCAACCACGCACTTGTAGAATCTAGTAGTCGCGAGCAGTCTTGCGAATTTATACAACCAACCGTTGATTATGTGGCTAGAACCCGAACTTCCTTAGTGGTTACGTAATAAGTAGTATACGGTACCGTATATACTCGCGTATGAATTTCAAAATACGACAATTATTTTTAAAAATACGACTTAACAGGCGTAAGATACGATGTTATTTAAATGGAAGTGACTTTATAAACACAAGAAAAATTATTTTAAATGTAATTCTTTCTTTAACAGGTAGCCAGTGTAAATCATAGTGTTTAATCGGGTTTAATATATTCGGGCAGCAGATTTTTTAACTTTCTGTTAAATCGGTATATGAAGAAAAAATGCATGAATAAGTTTTTCAGTTGTGTTGGAACAAACGTACTTACGATTTCACCAAAGTTTGCGAAAATACAAAAAAATGATTTACAAACGGACGAAACAGATAGATTCATCAAGAATAACACCTACATTTGTGGTATTAGGGCCAACAACAGTGTTCACTTACCAAAATTTTCCTCGTATTCATCAACAGGCAACCACGGACATCGTTTCACTTTATTTAATCTTTGAAATAGAAATACAGTACAAACTCACACTGGTATAATACAAATAAAACGTATTTTGCATAACAATAAGTGAACAGAAAATCAGTGGCCGTGAACAATCGATACATGTAAGTAGGACCATGAAGCAGTATGCGCGCAATTGGTACTTTTGTAAACCAGCATAGCTGTCGGAAGCATTTATAGGATGAGAAATTATGCTAGATTATTATACCAAATTTTGATCGAACAAATACAGACACAAAATAAATATAGGTTTAGGTGGGAGAGGAAATGCTGTTACCAGGGTTCTGTTCAAAGAACATAAACCCTAGTAAATACTAAAATTACAATAAGGATATATACTTCAATATAGCGACCTTGGCCCGCATTAATAACTTGATGTACAATTGTGAAATTCAGTGATCATTAGACTATACTATGATTTAAGTTGAATACTCAATACTTTCCAACACCCGCTAGCTTATTAGCACAGTAAGACCTGGCCTGTCTAATTCCTGTCTCAGTTGCTGATGTGTCCTTGATACGACGAAATATTCAACACTATTCTTGTGGATTGGTATTTCACTCTTTAGGTCATTCAATACGTATTCTCTTTCATACTACCCAGTGGGCACAACTTGGTTGAAATAACGTTGATTCAACGTAATATGCAAACATTGAATCTACGTTTAATTTTTGTTGTATATGAAAGTTTGCATCAACGTAAATCTCAACGTTGATTCAACGTAAAATGTCTAAGGTTTTTTCAACGCTAATTTTTTAACTTTGGAACAACGTCAAATGACCAACGTTGAATCAACGTTGAATTTTGGTTGTATATGAAAGTTTTCATCAACGTAAATTTCAACATTGATTCAACGTCAAATATCTAAAGTTGTTTCAACGTCAATGTTTAACGTTAAAACAACGTCAAATGATCAATGTTGAATCAGCGTTGAGTTTTGGTTGAATTTGAAAGTTTTCATCAACGTAAATTTCAACTTTGATTCAACGTAAATTATCTAAAGTTGTTTCAACATCAATTATTTAACGTTATAATAACATCAAATGATCAATGTTGAATCAACTTTGAATTTTGGTTGTGAATGAAAGTTTTCATCAACGTAAATTTCAACGTCGATTCAATGTAATATGTTCAATGCTAATTCAATGTAAATTTTTAATGTTGAGTCAATGTCAATGTTTATTCCTTTAAACTTACAAAATACACTGAGTTTAAAATATACTTGACCATTTTTCTTTAATTGAAACTTGCAAAAAACATTAAATATTATGTATCGTAGCTATACAGGCATGTTTAAATCAGAGTTTTTGTAATAATTATAAAAACAGCTACTATGTGTAGATTTCAAAATATACCTATCATGCATTACTGTCGTTTTAACCATGGAGGTATAACTTAACTGACCTAATATTGCACACTTAGCATAATTAAGAATCTTTCGCGTTACAGGATTCGGTTTAAATCAGTAACTTTCTTGGTGATAAATTATTTGACCCTCTACTATCCTTAGCCAGGTCTTTTCTTGTCCAACCAGAGGTATTGAAGCAAGGTATCCAAGAACCTTTGTGAAAGATAAAAACAAAACAAAAATATTTGAAACAAAGAAGACTGAATTATTGTTTTAAAGTTTGTATGGTAAATTTTAAAATAGTAAATACTTGAATACTATGTAGATAGATGAAACAACTGTTCTTCCCAGACCAATCTACATTGATATACTGTAAGCCTACTGCAAGCATTACCAATAATGATGCAAATACTGAAAAATATTCACTATGGAAAATAGTATTGCAAACATGGACAGTTAGAGATTTCTCTATAGGGAGTGGCAGTTACCTTAAAACACATATTCATTCAGTTTTATTACTTTTGATATGCAAAATATTAAATTTAATTAAATGTTGTGTAGTAGAGTATGGTAATTGCCTGGGTTAATAATGGACTTAAGCTAAAACAATTTAACTTTTTGCTAAATAATTAGGAACAACACCAAACATGAATGGATGGAGAACAAAATAAGTTTGAAAACAAACTTTAAAGCACATCTTTCAATAATAGATTTTTTTTTTTTTTTTAAAGATTTAAATACATTTTTCTCTGACAGCATCATACTACGAAGTTAGGTGCCATTTATCGTTGGAGAATATTAAGCATGTTAAGATAATATTTACGATTAGACTGTCCCCAATTAATTTTAACTTATTAATCACCTTCGTACAACGACGATTAAGACAAATGCTGTGACTTCTTAGGTACCCGAGACTTAATTAAGAAACAAATGGCCATTACTGTGACATAGTAGGGTAGTCACTTACTGATGTGTGATAGTGGTATTAGCAAATGTGCAGTATATATTCTCATAAAATAAAATTTTTTATATGCCTTTTTACTGCTTCATCATGGCTGCTCTTCCATCAGTTTTGTACCAGGAGACAAATAAATACACATTCAATAGTTGGTTTTTTCCCAGTGTCTACCACAAACAATATATTGCAACAAACATGACTTCCTTTCAATGGATTGAAAACCTGAAAGAAATACCATATTATTTATACAATGTTAGACCTATGCACACAACTAAATTAGACCCATATAAATTTTTATATTTCTATTATTAATTACACTAACCGTAGCGTTAAATAATGTTAATATTATCATAAGATATTTACTGTAGTTAAATTTTCTCTTTATTAAAAGAAAATATAAAAATTTACATTATTAACTTAAAAAAAAAAATAGAAAATGATTACTGATGACACGACAGTGATGTGGATATTATACCACTGGCAGTATGTAGGCCTATGATATAAGATGAATTATTAAACACAATATTAATAAATAGCTGTTTTATTTTTGTGCTTGGTTCATGCAACCACATGTTAACATTATATTTAATACAATATAGACCTATTACAGCATTTCAACACAGGACGTGGCCATTTTACAAAGTTAAGTCTAGGCCTAGGCGATTAAAAATTACCGCTAATAATTCAAACTTAGCCCACACATCCAACTTGCAGTCTAGCCTAAACAAGTAAATAATTATGCTAACTATGCTCTTACACTTCCCTACAGTACTCTAGAGCTACTACTACTAGGCTAGGGCCAGAGGGCCTGGCTGGCCTAGGTTATCCTAGCTAAAACAAAAGATAACCAAATATATAAAGCAAGCCTGAACAGTTACGATATTGGGCTAGCCTAGATACACCCTGTAATATAGTATACAAATATAAAATTCTTACCATTTATTTGATAGTGCTGATAAATTCTGTAGTATGTAAACTGTGTATGAAGCCAACATACAGCAACTAATACAGTACTTCAAAAAATGAGCATTTGCTTCTGATTGGTCTGTACCTAATGACCTAATCCGATTAGCACATTACTTGCCACACTTTCAAGGACGGAGAACCACAGGACTGGCCGCACCGGCTATGGCCGGACCACTTTTTCTCAATTCCATTACTTTTTGAAATAAATATATAATGATAATTATGAATTATATGAATGTACGCATCGCATTGACGTTTCAATCATGGTACGATGGCCTATTATAAGACTAAAAAATAGCGACCTAAATTAGAATCTACCAAATCAAAACCAGGGACGTATCCAGGGTGGGGGGGGGAGGGGAGCCGTGGGAGCCGCGGCTCCCCCCCTTTGTACACAGTGTTAAAATATTAAAGCTTATTATTGAGCCAATACAAATTCTTTCCTGGGATCACTCAAAATGAATACTTCTAAACATGCAAATATGCATCGAGTACACGTTATACATAGGCATAATACTAGAACACATAGGCCTAAGCGTGATTAAAAAAATCTTAAATCCATAAATCTCAGGCCAGGTCTTT